CATCGACGCGTACGCACTGGGAAGTTGTTGTGCGCTTCCTCTGGGTCGTGCCTCGGCGCGTAACCGCTGCGGTGGATTTGTGCGCTTCCTCTGGGTCGTGCTTCGGCGCTTATGCGCATGGACGCACTCGTGTCCTTTCTCTGGTCTGTTTTTTGTGTATCCACCGGGACGCACACGTGTGTTTCCTCTGGGTCGTGCCTCGGCGCGTATTCTTTGGGACGCATCGTGCGTTTTGTTCGGGTCGTGCCTTGGCGCGTATCCACTAGGACGCACACGTGCGTTTCCTATTTGTCGTGCTGCGGCGCTTACCCAGTGGGACGCACAAGACCACCACGGGCACCCCGAGTACACTAAGTTGCGCCCACCCCCCTTGGGCCTCCGCCAAAGGATCCCCCAGGCACCAGACGGCCGAAGGGGCCCAAGACGGCCCAAGAGGAAACCGAGATGGCCCAAAGACAGCCCGAAGAGGCTCCGACGGCCCAGAAGGGGCCAAGATGGCCCAACAAGACGCCGAGCGAGGCCAAGAGGGCCCCAAAGAGCCGTGAATAGAAGACCGCAGAGGCAACACATTGTTGCTCGCGTGTTCTAAGTTCCGAAGGTCCAAGACAACCCAATAACCCCCCCATGACATAACGTGTGAAGACCGCACGCGAGGCTCCTCGAGAGAGTCCCTAGACGGCCCGAATGGTCCCCAATACAGCCCAGGAAGGCAGAAATCAGTCCCCAATGGTGCCCCGTTTGAGGAAAGTGGAGGCGTTCTGGGAGGCGTGCAGCTCGAGATGGCCCCCGAGATCCGCCAAACTCGCCCGAGAGGTTCCCAAAAGCCAGCAAGCGAGGCGCCCATAGCTGCGCCCAGGACGACAGCATGTGTCCCGCAGGCTGTCTTCGAAAGCGAGAAAGCGAGAGAGAGAGAGAGAGAGAAAAAAAACAAAAAAGCAACAAAAAAAAAAAAAACGCTCCATGCGCTGGTTGGCCTGAGCGCTGCTCCATGTGTTTTGGAGTTCTCATCTGCTTCCCTCCCCTCTCCTCCTCCTCCTCCTCTTCCTCCTCCTCTTCCTTCCCCTCCTCCCGCTGTGGCGACCCTTGTTCGCTTGGAGTGGGGCTCCAAGAAAAAAAAAAAACGCACCACTTCGGACAGAGTCGCCGTCCAGGCCCCTGAGCCGCACGTGCTCCGCGGGAGGCGCCGCATGCTGAACCGGAGTGGTGGCGTGACCTTCCCCTTGGCTTAGGTCGGGCATGTCGTCCCACAGGGGGGTTTTGGACGAGAAATGAAAAGCTGGCAAAACATACACCAAAATGGCCAACAAATATTGAACAGAGCGTTCCCAGACTTTTTTCTTTAACAACTACTTCTGAATATTCCTCCTGTGGAGGGACAGGCCCGAATGAACCCCTGGCGCGGACAGAAGGGGTCCCGGGCTGGAAAACACAAGGGCTCCCACGAGGGCGCGAAGTTCTTCGCGCTTCGCGCTTCGCGGTCCTCGTTCCTTCTCCCCCTCCTCCTCCTCCTCCTCCTTTTCTCCCTCTGGGGGGGCGGCGCGAGAGCGCGAAGCTGTTCGCGCTTCGCGCTGCGCGGAGCGCGAAGCGCGAAGTTGGGAGCCCTGGAAAGCGAGGCGGCCGGCGGTGATCAGTCGCCACGCGGGCCGTGCGCGCCACCGGGCGCAGGGAGGCGGCGGCTCCAGTGCGTGGGGGTTGGCACGCGCGCCGCCGCGCCTCGGCGGAGCGAGGCGCCGCCCTGGGGGCGCCCCTTCGCGGCGGCCCAGGATGGGCAGGCACGGGAACGGGTGCCAGCTGGTGTCGGGGGTGGACGGACCTCCTACCCCGACACGTCGAGTAAGGAATTGGCCGTTTTCGGTACGCGAGAGGGCGTCGCGGCCGTCGTTGTTGCGGGTCCAGGTCCGTCGGTTTCGGCCCCAGGCCGTTTTCACTAAGGGGAGGTCTACTTGACGGAGGTTTGTCCACCGCCGATGGTGAGCGTTTCTTGTTCCATTGGTTTGCCGATCGGCGCGGGCCCTCGCACTCCCCCTCCCCCCTTTGTGGAGTGGACCTTGGCTGTTTTTGGGGCGCCTGCTTCGAGCAGGTGGAGTCTCCCTCACAGGACGCACGGTCCCAAACAGTCGCACTGAGCATAGGTCCAGAGCCAGACCTCCCCCTCCCCCCCCTCTTTCGGCCAAAGTTGAAACGCCGTATAAAAAAAGTTCACCTGTTCGCACGGTCCGCGTGGAAGGGGACCAGCACTGGTGTGCCGCCATGGGGGAGCTGAAGAGGGTCTGGAAATATATCCCTGGAGAGTGGTCCCTCTGGTCGCCTCAGGGCGAAAAGTCACGAAACATCGTTGTGTAACAGCCCTCGCCTCGTAAGTACGATGAATCTGTTGATCAGCGGAACTGATCGTTCTTGTATCTGGTGAGGGGAAGCCACCAACAGGTTGGCTGGCCGGCTAAGTGCTCGAATGCTGGCAGTGAGAGTAGTCTCGCGTCTCGCGGTCCTCTTGTCGCTGGTAACTGGTCGCAGTGAGGTGCTGGGCGAGGGCGTTCCTCCGATCGGTACGATGCTCCGCGGTGAGTCGGTTGTCAGCACCCTGGTGGGTGCTACTGAGGGCCCGTGGCCCCCGTTCCCTGGTGAGGCGGGGGGGGGGGGCGGTGGCAGCAAGCACTGATAAGCATTGCGTCGGGAGTGTGGGTGTGCAGTAGCACTGGCCAGCCCAGCGGTTAGCCCGGGGAAGATGGTTCACCCTGTTGTGGCGAACCGCGTTTCCCGAACTTCGGAATTCGAATCATGGGAAACGCAATTCCAGCCCATCGAGCGCGGCTCTTCAAGGGAAATTGCGTTTCTCATAGTTCGGAATTCGAATTCTGGGAAACCGCGTTTCCCGAAACTCGCAATTCGAATTATGGGAAGCGCAATTCCAGCCTATCGAGTGCGGCTTTTCAATGGGAATTGCGTTTCCGATAGTTCGGAAGTGTGGGAATCGCAATTCCAGCCCATTGAGTGCGGTTTTTCAAGGGGAGTTGCATTTCCCATAATTCGGAATTCGAATTCTGGGAAACCGCGTTTCCCGAAATTCTGAATTCGAATTATTGGAAATGCAATTCCAGCCTATCGAGTGGTGTTTTTCAAGGGAACTTGCCTTTCCCATAATTCGGAATACGGGGAACGCAATTCCAGCCCATCGAGGGCGGTTTTTCAAAGGAAATTGCATTTCCCAGATTTCGGAATTCGAATTCTGGGAAACCGCGTTTCCCGAAAGTCGGAAGTCGAATTATGGGAAACGCAATTCCAGCCTATCGAGTGCGGTTTTTCAAGGAAAACTGCGCGTCCGAAATTCGAATTATGGGTTCCCATATTTCGCCCTTTTCGACTTGTTGGATTATAGGAAACGCAAACCCAGACCGCAGCCGGATCTCGTTATGGAGCCACGAAGCGTGTGAGGGGTGTACCGATTCGGGTGCGGTGACGCCATGCGGACTGTGCCATTGGGGCCTTCGGTGGAGCTCCCTGTGTGGCCACGAAACGTGTGAGGGGTGTTCCGAATCGGGCGCGGGTATGCCATGCGGACCGTGCCACTGGGGCCTTCTGTGGGGCCCGTTGATGGGGCCATGAAACGTGTGAGGGATGTGCCGAAACAGAAACATGTGGAGGGAGGCAAGGATGGGAGGAGGGGGAGGAGGAGAGGAGAGGAGAGGGCCGCCAGGGTCTGTCTCTTCAGAACGAGGACCCAACACCGCAGGACGGTTGGGAACAACAACGGGTGCTCCCTTCTCGAGCGTCGGGCAGCCCCAGACATCCCACGAGGCCCCCCAGAACGGAATGTCTGAAGAAGGCCTAGGGGGCCACATGCGAACCCTACCCCTACCCCCCACGATTTCTGGAGGGGAGGGTGGGGTTCACTTCGCCCTGAAGCTCCCGAGCGAAGTGAACCCCACCCTCCCCCTCAGAAATCGTGGGGGGTAGGGGTAGGGTTCGCATGTGGCCCCCTAAGGCCCACGCGGCCCCTCAAGAGACTCCCAATCCAGCCCACGACGGCCCAGCGGCTACCAACAGGGCCCAAGGGCGCCCCAGATCGGCACAAAACGCTCCCTATAGGGAACGTATAAGTCCGGCCACGGGCGAGAGGCCCCCTAAGACAACCCAAGAATGCACCAGTAACGCTTTCAGGACGCCCGAGATATGGGGAAGCCGGAGGAATCCCCGGAGGCGTACCCCATAGGACGGCCCCCAAGTCCCCCACGACTCACCGAAGAGGCGCTCAAAGAGTCCCCCAAGACGGCCCGACAGCAAGGGGGGAGAGGAGGAGGAGGGGAGGATCGGGAGGAGGGAGGAGGAGGTCCGTAGCCATTTTGGCTCGAGGCTCATGCCGTTGTGACTTCCACATTTCCTTAGGCCTCCTAGATGGGGTCGGAGTAAATGGGGTCGAATGATCGCGCCGCATCGCCGATGCATCGCCGATGCGGCTCGATGCGGAGCCCGATTTCCTTCACGCGGACGTCGCCGACGAGTCGCCTACGTCGCGGATGCATCGCCGGTGCATCGCCGGTGCATCGCCAGTGCATCGCCGAAGCATCGCCGATGCATCGCCGATGCGGCGCGATCCTCTGACCCCACCTACTCCGACCCCATCTAGGAGGCCTCTAACTTCTTGTCATCCATATCTCAGGAGGGGAAAAAACACACAGACACAATTGATCGACGATTCCCCAGAAAATACGGGAAGATATGGGAATTGGGGGTGAAGACAGAAGCCCAGAAAGTATGGGAAAATATGGGGAATCTGGTTATTTGTGTCTATTTGTGTGTCCCAGTTCCTCTAGGAGGAGGAGGAGGAGGAGGAGGAGGAGGAGGAGGAGGAGGAGGAGGAGGAGGAGGAGGGGGAGGAGGTGGATGAGGAAGAGGAGGAGCAGGAGGAGGAGGAGGAGGAGGAGGAGGAGGAGGAAGGGGAGGAGGAGGCCTCTAACTTCTTGCCATCCGTAGCACCGAATCCGGGGCCGTGCCGGCCTGCCATGGCGGTCCCGCGCGGCCTGCTCCTGCCCGCGGCGCTGCTCGCCTCCTGCGCGGCCCTCCACCACGGCGCCCCGCCCGGGCAGGACGGCCAGCGCCTCCTCTTCTTCTTCCTCCTCCCCTCCTCCTCCTCCTCCTCCCTCCTCCTCCTCCTCCTCCTCCTCCTCCTCCTCATCATCATCATCATCAGCATCAGCATCAGCATCATCATCATCATCATCATCATCATCATCATCATCATCATCATCATCATCATCATCATCTCATCATCATCATCATCATCATCATCATCATCATCATCATCATCATCATCATCATCATCATCATCATCATCATCATCATCATCATCATCATCCCCCTCCTCCTCCTCCTCCTCCCCCTCCTCCTCCTCCTCCTCCTCCTCTTCCTCCTCCTCCTCCTCCTCTCTCGCGCGTTCTCTTCCGCTCCCCCCCTCCCCTCGTCCTCCCTCCCCCATCCCTTCCACTTCCCTTCCTCCCCTCGTCGCCCGGGCAGGATGGCCAGCGCCTGCTGGGAGGCGGCCGCCACGCCGCAAGCGCGTCGGCCAAGATGATGGCCGTGAAGGGGCACACCGTCAGCCAGGTTAGGGGGCCACATGCGAACCCTACCCCCTGCCCCCCACGATTTCTGAGGGGGAGGGTTGGGTTCACTTCGCTCGGTAGCTCCCGAACGAGATGAACCCCACCCTCCCCCTCAGAAATCGTGGGGGGTTAGGGGTAGGGTTCGCATGTGGCCCCCTACAGGTCTCCGCGAGGTGGACGGGGAACGTCGTGTACGCCATCTTCACCAGTGCCAGCGAGAAGTACCACGACGGCCTGCTCGCGGAGCTGGGCACGTGGGCGGAGGTCCCCGCGAGGCAGGGCAGGTTTGTCGCCGTGGGCGGCAGCAACTACCCTGACGAGTGGCAGACGAAGAACGTGCTGAAGTCGGAGTGCGGTGACTCTATGGAGTCGATCTCCTGCAAGGAGGCCACCCTGCTGGCGGAGGGCGCGGCGCGCGGGGCGGACTGGCTGTACGTGATCGGCGAGGACAACTATGTACACACCAAGCGCATCGAGGAGTTCCTGAGCGACAAGGACCCAGACTCGGTCATCGCGTACGGCACCGTCGGGTGCGGGAAGGGGATATACTGCACGGACGACGACGGCTTCACCGAGGAGGGCGGCTTCTGCGGCGGCGGCGGCTACATTATCAGCCGCGGGGCCCTGCAACGGCTCCTGGCCAACGGCGCACCCGAGCTGCACGAGATCTACGACGCCACGCCTTGGCCAAACGACATGACGACCAGCTGCCAACTCAGGAAGCATGAGGTGGTCCTGAGCAACGTCGGCAACATGTACGGGTTCCCCATTGTCGACATCGATGATTACAAAGGTATGGCTCGCGGCGACTTCCTCACTCTACACTACCTCAGGCCTGCCACCATGCGGTGGTTCCACGCGCACCTTCATGGCGCCTCGAAACATGTGACGCATTCGTTGGAGGAGGCGGCGTTCGATCATGGCTGCGCCAAGGACATCGGAGGCGTCTCCAGTCAACAGCGATTCAGGGAGTGCTTGGTCAAGAAAGGTGCGACGCCCCAGTGATGTATCGAGGAGTCGCCTCTTGGGGCGTATGCGAAACATCTGGTGGCCAGCGGTGTTCAGCGCACCCTCACGTGCGGATGAATTGAGGAAGAGTTCTCGCGGCCTTCTGTTGTTCATGAGTTTCTGGTCGGTTAGGGCCGTTGCGCCGTGGAAACAAAAAGAGGAGCGAGGAGGAGGGATGATAAGACAGAGGAGGAAGAGGAGGAGGAGGAGGAGGAGGAGGAGGGAAGAGGGAGGAGAGTGGAGGGAGAACGGAGGAGAGATGATTGCGAGGAGAAGGAGGAGGGAGGAGGAGGAGGAGGAGGAGGAGGAGGAGGAGGAGGAGGAGGAGGGGGGGATGATGATGAGGAGCAGGACGGAGCAGGTGCAGGACCAGGCAGGAGGCGCAGGCGAAAGGCCGAGGAAGGGGAGCAGGTGGACACAAGCAGGAGGAGCACAAGGGGGAGGGGGTGTGGTGCCTCCCCTGCCCCCAGCGGCACGCATGGTCGCGAAGATAGCCTTGCCCCGCGCCTCGAGCGCCGCGCGAGTCGCGAGGATGGCCGTCGTGCTCCGCGCCTCCTGTGGTGCGCGGGGCGTGACGGTTGAGTGACAAAACTTGAGCAACACTCCCCCCTTCCCCCCGCAGTTCGAAGTTGGCACGTGCTCCGAGTTTCTTAAGAAGCGCCGTTGGGGCGTCACCCCCGCCGACAGCCCCACATCGACCCCTGTCGCGGGCAGCCACCGCGCGCCGAAGGCGCTCCGACCCCCGTCGCGGCGCGACGACGAGGCGAGTTTGACCCCCGTCGGGGGGGTAAAACCCCCCCACGCTGATTAAGAAACCCAGAGTGCACGCATCACTGGTCCGACACTCAAGCTCGGGAGATCCGAGCCCAACATTGCATTCGGGGGGAGGGGGGGGGAGAGTTCACACCGTGTGCTACGCGTGAGTGCTGCTCCGTTTTTGTTCGACACCCGGAGGTCGGGTGACCCCGCCCCCCCCAGGCTGCTCAGCGAGCGCTGCCTGCGCAACCAGCTCGACGAGAGGCACCTGCCGCCGCTGCCGCCGCCGCCGCCCCTGTCGTCGCCGTCGCGCCATGGCCGCTGCCGCCCTCGTCGTCGTCGCCGTCGTCTTCGTCGCCGCCGTCGCTGCCGCCGTTGGCGGCTGCCTCGAACAGCCGAGGCAGCCGAGGCTGAGGCTGCGCAGGCAGCGACTACGACGGCGGCTGCGACGACGACACGGCGGCAGCGACACCACCACGACGATCACGATCTCGACGACGACGACAACGACGACGACGACTACGACGACGACGACGACGACCTCAGGAGGTCTCTGGAGGTCCTCAGAGTCTTCGGAGACTTCCAGAGACCCGATCAACGGTGAAGATGATCAAAACCATATAATCCTCAAGCCTCAAGCCTCAAACCTTAACCCTTGGGCCTCGAAGACGACGACGACGACGAGAGACGAGGGACGAAGGATGGGGGACGGGGGACGGGGAACGGGGGACGGGGAACGGGGGGACGACGACGATGGCGACGGCGACGGCGAAGAAGACGGCGAAGGCGATGGCGAAGATGAGAGGTGCATGCCGCGGCTGCTGGAGCGCCATCCTGACCTCGTCAAGCTGCGCGCCAGGGCGCCGCTGCCGCCCGAGGCGAGCGCTTTCCTCTTTTCGCGTTCCGAGGCCCGAGGCAGTCGTCGTCGTCGTCGTCGTCGTCGTCGTCGTCGTCGTCGTCGTCGTCGTCGTCGTCGTCGTCGTCCGCCAGCAACCGATCCCGGATGGCAAGTGCTGACCAGC